AGATTTGCAGCTGTAGGCAGTACAGCCAGGAACTAGTCGTCAACTATTATTCTCCATAGCCATGCATTTGTTAGATGAGTAAAATAAGATTTTGTTTTCACATGGTGGGAAATGGATAGATATTGCCAGATATCAGCTGAATTGAATTGAATCATTACTACAGTTACATATTAACACTGGATCATCTATTCGAAGTAGCATGTTTTTTACATATCTTTTTCCTTTTATTATATTTATCATTCATATAGAGCCTCATACTAATAATTATTTTCTTTTCGGACAATTTTGCTTGTCTGATATACAGAAATTAATGTCTTAAACAATTGAAAGAGCTGTGGAGGAAAATATTTGATATCTTGGGTTTATGTTATTAGAATAAATCATTAGAATAAATAACTTTTTCATAGTATTTTTGATTTACATACATTCTCCTCAACAGGGGGATGAATTGGATTGGGGTAAGTATAGTGGTGAGTGTCCTTCACATGGGAGACTGGGCTTCGATTCCCCCATGGGGAGATACACGTGTATATAACCCACTTTGTAAGTCGCTTTGGATAAAAGCGTCTGTTAAATATGTAAATGTTTTGGGTTTAATTTTTTCAATATGTTTTTGAGAAAGGAATAAAACAAATGAAATGATATTACGTGTCGACAGTGCTGGGTGTTTCTCCCCCTCCTTGTCTGTGTGAAAGTTTTGATTACAGTATCACAATCCCAATTTCCTTGCGTCAAAAAAAAAAAAAAACTATCACAATCCCAATTTCTAAAGGCTGAGGGCATAAAGATTTTCGCACCTCTGTTGTTTTGTATTGATGAATCAGAATCTGCTGTTGCATGTCATTTCCATCTCTTGGATGTTTCAGAGAATTTTTGTGTTTGAGGCCAAGCTGGTTTTTCTATCACTTTTTCTATTGCTCCAGATCACCCCAGCCAAAAGTTAGAACGTAACATGACCAGAGCATAAGAATATTGTCTTCTTATAACAGGCAATTAAATAATTATGCGTGAAACAGGTAACACTAATCAATTGAAAAGTATATAATATGACGATGACATACAGAGCTGTAAAGCTGTCCAGTTTTTACTATTCACATGGCAACAATTTCACATCTGAAAAAATCTTTTGATCTTTTGATAAGTGGTACAATTTTAACATAGTAAAAAATGTGGCTGTTTATTCTGTGTGGCCCTAACCCTAACCCTAACCTATTTGGAATATATTCCTGTACTCTCCCACTTGCATATGCATATGTCTGACACACCAATGAGGCTTATCAATTAACTCTACAGTCTGCAGCCCCTCCCGTGTCGTGTGACACACATGCAGATACAGAGGCAGGCTAGCAGTGAAGAGATGCGGAGCAGAGACAAAGCGATGGAGGTGATAACACTGGAGCCACCATTGTTTTCACAGAGCCAAGAACAGGGCGTGTGCACTTGCATGTGTGTCTGGGGTTGTCACGAAACAGGTTACAGGAACCTTTCTGGCGTCACAAGTGTTTGTGACAGAATTTGAACCCTGGTTGTGTTCACAATAACACAGACAATCCCAAAAAATCTGTGTTTCTTCATTTAAGGCCTTTGTAAGATGCATGGAACATGCTCATACTTGTAAGTTTCTTTGCATGTTTGTGGCTTAAACTGAGAGCCAAGTAAAAGGATTGAACTACCACAGGTTTTGAGTGTTCATCTCTGAAAAAGTGTGCAGCTTTGGTGCCTCTGAACAGATAGAACCTGTGTGAAAAGGAATATTGCTGTTGGTCTGGAAGGTCCTACCATTTGTTCATTAATAACACAGTACTTTGAATCCAAATTTTCTCTCTTCGAGGCTTTATGGGTAGCCTTTCATAAATACTTTAAATAAAGCAATAATAAAAGGCAAAGGTGTTAAAAGGCCATTAAACCCTAGTGGATTTGTGCTCGTTTACAACAGTTGATTTACTGAGCAAGTTTATTTAATTTCAATTAATTAAATTTATTAGCACACATTTGGAACAGGAAGAGAAAAGAAAAAACAGAAGCTTGTTTGCTCAGTGAATTTAAACTTTTTTTGAGTGTCGGGTTCAAACTATTGTGTTTCATGTGGTTGTATTATCTCATCCTAACTAACTGCAGCATCATGCTAAAGCCAGTAGATGTAGTTTTGCAATGATTGTGTGAATTAAGATATCGAGAAAGCTACTTTTACTCCAGTAAAAACAAAAGTAGCTCTGTCAAATGATTACTTTAGTTAAAGTACCGAAGTACTTGCTTTCAAAAATACTTAAGTATTCAATGTACTTCAGTATTTTCAATCTTGGAAAACAAATATAACAGTCCGTTTACTTGCTTATAAAGCACTTTTCCAAACACTTTAAAATGCTTTACAAGCAATTGGTTCTTCAGCAACACTTGATGTGGAAGCATCCTTCTGTGCCTGGAAAGGTTGCTGGTAAGCTCCTCTGATGACTGTTGCTGTTAGAAAGGTGTGGAAAAATAGCATTCCAACTGAAGTGAGATGATCATTCTGTTTTTGTGTATCAAGATGTGGAATAATGACCAAACATTTGAATAGGTTGTCTGATCTGGACAAATTCACATGTCCCAAATAAAAAGGAGTTTTTTTTTTCAAAGAAAAATGTAAGTTGCAGTATTTCAAGAGGGAGAATAAGAGGGTGATACACTACACTGTAAAAATGTCTGTGAAATAAACATTAATATGCCATAAAATCATGACATTAAAAATCTATGACAAGAAAAACAATGGATCAGTGTATATTTAAATGGAATATATTGTAAAGAAAAAAAACAATGAATAATAGTTCATAATACAGTCAGTGATGTGAAAAGGATCATATTTATTTGTAGAATTGATATGTTACTGTGTTATAAACATTAAAAATTGTAATACTTGAACCAACGCAATACAGTTAAATTTACAATATAGCTTGTTTTAAGGAACTAAAATGAATAGTAAACCATTTTACAAATTCAGTTGTTGTGATTTACAGTTAAACGCTGTAGGCCTAACTATGATAACATGACGAAGTTGAGAATCAAACATGTTTATAACTGAGACCTATAGGCTAGTAGAAATGTAATCATGCTCAAAAAAATATTTTTACACTAGACTGACAACTCTTTATGTGTTAATCAGTTCCCTATTTTTGTATCACATAATTATATTAGTTACAATATTACTTTATCAGGTATTTAGTGTTTTAAGTTTTAGTTTACACAGTATGTGGTTTAATACACAGTCCAGGGGAGACATGGGGGGTAAAATGATGAGTGAAGAAGAAAAGGAGGTTCGCCCCACCTAATAAAAATGTTAAAAAACACTTTTTTGCCGTAAAATGTAGGTCTCCCGCAGTCATTAAAGCCTTGATAGTTTTAAACTAGGACTGCACCGTGAGAACCGGGACCTTTCTGTGTGCTTCAATTGGATGTTCTAAATTGCTCTTAGGTTGTGGTTGTTTGTCCTGTGTGTCTGTGTTGCCCCGCAATGAACTTGCAGGCCTTCCAGTAGTCGCCCATTGACTACTGGGTTAGGCTCTAGTCCCTCCCCCCCCGACCCCATAAGGGAATCAGCGGTTGTGGATGGATGGATAACTTTTTACTGGAAAACTCAGACTTATAATAAGGCTTTTACCATTTAACAATCAGTCAAATTAAATAGGATTAGATGTAAAATAAGCAAAGTTTGCATGTACATTATACAGGAAAACATGGCTTTAATAAAGACATGGTCATGCTAATATGGCTGAAAACGGATGTTGAATTTATCAGTTTACCAGTCATTTTTATAATGATATTTTGAAAAGGATTACAGTTATACAATGTAAAATTTACAAGTTGTCTTGTAATATGTTTTACACTCTGCTGTGTTTTCTACAGCCACAGCTGCCATTTTTTTTCCTGTAAAAAAAAGCTTTTTTATACCACCCACACAAACCAACCTCTGAAGGATGCTAGGATGGAAATAGCTCCAGTGCTATTGTGCTCACACAACATCACAGAACTCATTTATTCAGGTGTACTTAATATCAAACTGCCTCCTATTTCTTTTTAAAACACACAGAAACAGATCAAGGGCAGCATTCACTGGGTAGCTTTCTCGATATTCATCATCTGGTGTGAACCTATCTAGTCCACATGGTTGGATATCTGTGAATCTGTGTAAATATTACCTTATAATTACAAATACAAATCTGCCTTATTCCCAGATAATATCCAACTCTTGGAGCCAGGCAACGCATCGACCCAGGCTGTTTTTAGACCATGGGGAGCTCTCACATGGCTGAAAGATATTTTCAGGAAAAAAATGTCTGACAGAGCCAAGTTTATAAACATAAATTCTTCTGGAGGACATTTTTTAAGGAAGCAAATAATCTATTCATAGCTAAAGGAATTAGTGCATATATGCGGTTGGACATTATCAGAAGATCTGATTTGAACCCTTTAAAGCCCAATCCAAAAATAAAATAAAACAGAAAACAACTTATTTTTGGTCTGAAGTCTTTATTGGCCTTTTAACAAAATATGTAAAAAGAAAAGACAGAAATACATTTTTAATATTAATAATTTATTACTATGCGATAACTCAAGATAGTTTTTTGTGTAGTCTTCTGCCCCCTGTTATCAGGTGTATCTGATTGTGTGCAATAGGATTTTGAGCAAAGTTTTTACCATTAAAGTATGCAAAAGGTGTCAGAAGCAAAACATTTCAGAAACCGTATGAATCAAATATGATACATTTGGCATTACAGGGTTAAAAAACGCACACGTGCTCTATGATCTCTAACTCTTGGAGTTTGGAAGCCTTAAACACAGAAAGTACACCGTTTCAGCCACGTGCAGTCTTCGTGATCACAGCACTGTGGTTCTCTTTTATCCTTGGCAGACTGAGTTATGCCCCCCCGCCCCCCACTCTTCCTTCCTCTTCCCTTTGGTTCTTGTGTTTGTTTGCACTCAGCTTATCCGGAGCGGAAATTCCTCTCCGTTTTTTTGTGAATGACAAACTCATTAACAATTTATCAACACTGGCCGCTCCATGTGGCCTCCGTTTCTATGGCGACCGGCGCCGGGTCTCTTCTGATTGGTTCAGTCGACGTAGCGTATCCAATGAAACGCCTTCCGAGGGGAAAGCCATTCAGCAGGCTGGCGCCGCAGAGAGCGCACTGAGTCAGACCCTGCGGTGTTTTCTGCTCAGACGGCAGAGAAAAAAGCTTAGAGGAGGAATAAACCGGATCCGAGCGAGCCCAAACGGACGGAACCGGCACGGGACGCAATCCAGAGCCTTCACACCATCCAAACCCTTCAAATCTGGATCTCCCCCCCAAAAAAGAGCGTCTTCGCTTTGCGGTTATATAAGAAAAAAGAGGAAGTGCCTTCTTTGTCTCTATAGGCCCGCGTGAGTCATTGATAAATAACACGACCTGCTCACAAATGCATGAATGAGCGCTGAGGGAGCAGAAGGGAACTCGCAGTCGGGATATCTCAGAAGGAAATCCGCGTTTTGCGCCTCGGTTTTGCGCCACGACGCGCACGGGACGTTCGGAGTGACAATTTATCTATTAGATTCTTCCCTCAGAACCTCGGATCTGTGTCGCCAAGGGCCTTTTTTCCAGCTTGGAACGCACTGAAGAAAAAAAAGGAAGCCCCTGCTTTTTTTTCCCCCAACATCATTTGCACTCCTGCTTATAAATGCTCGATAAACTGAAGAACGTCGTCCAGCTCGACTCGGTGATGGCGATCAGCAAGACGGCGGGCTGGCTGCGCGAGCAGCTGGAGGCGCGCCGGGACGCCCTGCTGCTGATGGACTGCCGGGCCCGGGAGCTCTACGAGTCGTCGCACGTCGAGACGGCCATCAACGTGGCCATCCCGGGCCTCATGCTGCGCCGCCTCAAGAGGGGCAACCTGCCCGTGCGCGCGCTGCTGTCCGACGGCGAGGACCGCGAGAGGTTCGCGCGCCGGTGCAAGACGGACACCATCGTGCTGTACGACGAGTACAGCCGCGAGTGGAACGAGAACGTGGACGGGGGGTCCGTGTTGGGTTTGCTGTTGAGGAAAATGAAGGACGAGGGCTACAAGGCGTTTTACTTGGAGGGTAAGTAGGCTACGGTTAATTGACATGGGCTATTTTTTTTATTTATTTTTTGGCCCCTTGGTTAATTCACACTTACAGGAGACAGATCATGTTCACTGAGTGCGCTTTTCTGTTCCAGGTGGCTTCAGCAAATTCCAGGCTGAGTATCCGGGTCTGTGCGAGACCAACCTGGACGGGTCCACCCACAGCAGCAGCTCCCCCACCGCGCAGGTTCTGGGTCTGGGCGGGCTGCGCATCAGCTCGGACTCCTCCGATATCGAGTCGGACATCGACCGGGACCCCAGCAGCGCCACGGACTCGGACGGCAGCCCGCTGTCCAACCCGCAGCCCTCCTTCCCGGTGGAGATCCTGCCGCACCTCTACCTGGGCTGCGCCAAGGACTCCACCAACCTGGACGTGCTGGAGGAGCACGGCATCAAATACATCCTGAACGTGACTCCCAACCTGCCCAACCTCTTCGAGAACGCAGGGGAGTTTAAGTACAAGCAGATCCCCATCTCGGATCACTGGAGCCAAAATCTCTCGCAGTTCTTTCCCGAGGCCATCAGCTTTATTGGTGAGTAATCCCACAGACTTGAAATACAGACCCCCACACTGCAAACGTTGGGCATATGGTTTATTGTGTCTTTCATGTGCTTTTCCACGGTCATGCATACAATTATTTCTGTGATCCATTTAGTTTGCTTTGAGAAAAAAAGTGAACATAAGCAAATCCTCAAGTTTGTAGAGTAGGAAACACATAACTCTGTTAATGTTTTATAATTTATCGCTGCATAGAGATTCTAAAGTTCTTATTATGCAACTGAGATTACATGAGGTGTCTGTGGCCGTGGTCTTATCAGTCATTCATGCAGGGACACAGTGAGGGGGCAGATTAAGGCCATTGTGTTAAGGCTCCGCTACACAAGTCTGCCTCTAAAGGCGCACGGACTAAAATGCACTGTGTACAAATAATTTGACTTCAATGGAAGACATCCTAGCCTATCTGTTGTCCCAGGGTTGTGTAATTGCAGTACAAAGGGCGATGTTGAAACAGGAGAATGGGAGAAAGTGAACTGTGAAGAGCGGTGGGGGTAATTTGAGCGCAACAGGAAGGAAGTGGCATTGAAAGTAATCTAGGACAGGGCATTGCTACTCCCCCCCTCCCCTTCTCTCTCCCTCCACATCACAAAAGGAGCCATTTACAGGGCCTGTTGACATCCTGTTTGCCTTGACAGAGTGCCCTCATGACTCCTACATTTACACGCCCAAATGGCACCATTGTCAGAATAGCCCTGCTGGGTAAAAGAATGCTTTAATATACTGTCATAGCACACTTCCCAGCTTGCTCTTCTAAGCTTAATTTTTATATTTTTTTATATCTAAAAAGAAAACAGAAAAATTCCCACTCTGTTTTTGTTCTGTTGACTGACTTGATTGGGAAACTGAATAAAATTCTGCTGCTGTCACTCCCTGAATCTACTCCAACTTCCACACAGCTTAACCTAAATAGCACAAATGTTCTCACAAGTAGTGTTTTTTTTTAATCTAAAATGGTGCATATCACCTCTGTAAATGATCAGCGTGGTGGCCTACAGAATGAAAAACATTAGATATGCTTTAGAAGTCTTAAATGAGAGAGAGTTGAAATTTTGTCTAATATACACATTGATTGTGTTTTTTCTGTAACAGGGCTGTTTGACAAACCAAATATATTTGATTTTTTTCTCTACGGCCAATTGCTCGGTATTAAATTTGTTCTTTTTTAAAATTTCTTCCAGATGAGGCTCGGGGCCAGAAGTGTGGTGTTCTGGTTCACTGCTTGGCCGGCATCAGCCGCTCGGTGACCGTGACGGTGGCCTATCTGATGCAGAAGCTCAACTTGTCCATGAACGATGCTTACGACATTGTCAAGATGAAAAAATCCAACATCTCACCCAACTTCAATTTCATGGGCCAGCTCCTGGACTTTGAGCGCACACTGGGCCTGAAGAGTCCCTGTGACAACAGAATGGCGCCACCGAGCCAACAGCTTTACTTCACCACCCCGACCAACCACAACGTCTTCCAGCTGGACGCCCTGCAGTCCACGTGAGGCTTGCTGTCCGCACGCCTCTCCTTCCCGGAGGTTTAGTGGGCCTCCTGTTAAAGAAAAGTTTCTGGCTGTGGATGTTTCTGCCACAGCTGGTTTGAGGAGACAGCTGCTCAGCTCGGACACTGGTCTAAGCAGTCTGACCAGTATGCAGCTGCTGCTGACTGAGGAGAGTGTAAAAGACAGAACACACTCAGTTTGATAGTGAATATTCTTTACACTATCATATTTTGCTGTCAGAACTATAAAGAATTTTCTTTTTGTTATTGTATCTGAGAAAATTCAAGGTGATTTGTTGGAGAGCTGTATGTTATGCTTCAAAGTTCCTGGGGTGTTGTGCCAAAGAGACATGATTGCTCAAATAGGACTGATTAATTCTGTTTTGTATGCTTGTTTTGGGGGTGGAGCATCTCTCCAGGATGCACTGTTTCCTTCATCTTCTGTGAAGACTTAGCTGTGTGGGGTTAAAGCACCCTGGCTTTCGAAGGCACACTATATACTGGACATCATTTTACACTTGTTGAGTCTTTTCAAACCTTTATACATTGTGTATATATCTTAATATAAAGACAGTGAAAGCCTTGCTGTAGTGTATGTCCCATAGAAGTGGGTAATTCTGCTGACTCTGTTTAATATTTTAGTTTTATGTAAGCAAAACAAAGTGAATATTGATCATTATGTTTGACTTGACAATACCAAAATATCCAAACAATATGCTACATATATATATATGCTATACATATATATATATGTATATATATATATACCTGTATGAAATGCTTTATAAGTGAATTTAGCCTCTAGCCTTTTTGCACCCACTCCTCACAAATCAGTCACCTTGGTTCTTTGCCTTATTTGCACACACAGGGTTAATATTGCACATTACCCTTCAGAGGTTCAAAACTTTTAGTTACTCCATACAATCCCATATTTGAAATTTTACGGCACACAGAAAGATATCTTTCTTTCCAAATCTTTTAACAGACTTTAATTTGGCACCGTTAGTAAAAGCCACTGTGTGCAGTCTGGATCTCTGAGGGTTAATGTGAGTAATCCTGATCTGTGCACAACAGTTAAAACTGATTTATGGACAAAGCTAGGAGCTTTGCTCGCCTCACCTATTCAGGGAAAATTCTTAGAAATGCAGTCTTTGAATCCAGACCTTTGGAGGGTTGTTGTGTCCCCCCCTTCCGCCACAGAAAAGCCCTCTTTGTAGAGGAAGTCATCATGATGACCTCTGCCCACCATTTTCACTCTCTCTTACGAATGTAAAGAAAAAATAACTTATTAATAAATTGCTATTTTGTCTACAGTTTCTGTTTATTCTGCCTGTTTTTCAACATACTTGTTTTTGTGTAGTCTACTTCCACAGAGATAACATTTTATATGTGTTTCTTCACATCTAAGTGTTAACCTCGACAACAGAATCACAATTCTGTACACGAATCTCTCACTTCCTATTAACTACAACACTGATGGCATATCCATGTTTACTCTCCAGATCAGAGATAGCATGTCCTGACACAGGGTGCTTGTGTAACAGTGCATCATGAACACTCTGTTCCTTGCAACAATCACAAACTGACAAAAGCCACTGAACAGGTGCAAAGCGACTCTTGTCACGCGGTGAACCGTCCAACTGGTTTTTCCATGTGATGGCTAACAGTAAGGGCTTTGAGTTCAAACAAACATTCACCGGGCTATGTACCAATGGTGGGGCCTGTACGCTCATCCATGAAAGGGAGCAGAAAGTAACTAGATATTGTTATTTGGTTATTCGATAGTGAGAGCAGTGGCATGTACCGACTATGACCTGAAGGCTGAGGATAAGGTGTTCCTCACTGTGCAGGTGAGGAGAGGAGCTGTCTTTTCCTTCAAGCAGAAACTTGCTTGACATGTTCAGCATTTTTATAAGATCTAATTAACACCGTTGTCAGTGTGTGTTTATGGATGTGTGTGAGTGTGAGCTTTCTACGATTTTCCTACAGAAAAGAGAGATACACAACACTAAAATAACACATTGCATTACTTGGTCTTAAGAAGGGAGTTACAAATCATTAAAGATAGTACACAGGACCTGGTGAAAAATATTTCAGAACCTTCAGTTGATCCAGCTTGTTTTCACCTAAGCCTCACCAGAAATAGTCTCCATTGAAAAGTTGTTGGTCAAGAAGCCATTTCTAAGGAAGGGAAACAGGGCAAAATGGCTCAGGTATGCCATATCACACAAGAAGTGAACTGAAAATCTTAATGAAGAAATGAATTCTACCCAGAGCCTGGACCTCAACATTACAAAAGCAGTGTGGAATTCTTCAAGATAACTATTTTTGGAGCCTAAATTACAACAATGCATGTTTAAAACAGTTTAAAACAGTTTAGGCTGTGTTGAGGAACAAAGATGATAATTATCAAAGATAGGTAAAACTTTCATACCGTGTTTTTAATCCTTTTAAAACTGTTAACATTTTTTTTGGTACTTACCAATAAAAGAATAAACAAGGCAGTTTCTCAAGGATTTTGCACAGTGCTGAGTGGTATGTGCTTACAGTATTTTAAAATCCCCAAGGCCTATCTGTGTGGAGTTTACATTATCTCCCTGCGTATATGTGGGTTCTCTCCATGTACTCGGGCTTCCTCCCACCTCAAAACAACATGCATATAAAGTGTGAATGTGTGTGCGTTGTTGTTCATCTATAGGTGGCTGTTTTCTCCTCACTGCAGTATAGCAACTACAGCAATACAACTAGCTAAACTCTTCCTTATAAATGGAAACGTGTCGTAGTAAACTTTAGTGGCTATTTGCTATTGCTCTTTTCCTCATAGTACAAGAAAAATACAAAAATGACGATTTAGCTCTGTAACAGGTGCTTTCCTCATGTAAATAAATATAAATAAAACATTTTAACCGATGATACAGTGATTACATCCAAGCAGTTATATACAGAAATGTAGCTAAATGCAAACTCAGCTAGCCTCCTCAGACTGCAGTACTAACCCAAAACAAACTTATGACTCATAAGTTATGACTCAGGAACATTGGGGTGAAAACTGCCCTTCAAAATAAGAGCCCCTTCCATTCAAAAGCCCCTTCCATTCAAAAGTCCATTCAGATTTATGCCTGAAAGGCAACACAGAGGCGTTCTAATGGACTGGTGATATGTCCATGATGTACCCCATCTCTTGCTCAATAACAACTGGGCTCGGTTATAAAGGCTAGTTGGTAGAACAATAGATGTATGTACAGTAAATGTAATACTCCTATCTAGTCTAACACCAGTATCTAGTTGATCTGCAATGTTGAAGGAAATCATGGCAACGAGCCACACAATAGCTCACACAGAAAGGCTTTGGATAGTAATGACATGTGACTTTTATAGGTTCTCACACTCGGGTGAAAATTATTTTACAAGACATGGTTATCTGCTGAAGACCATTAATGTCTGTACCATAGTCATTGTTGCCCAGTGCATACATTTAACATACATACCTTTATCTTATCAGGGACTGGACTACTATTGCAATTCCTAGAGTCTCTTTATATGGTCAAGACTGAAGCAAATTATGGTAGTGGCCACATACTACAATTAAAGTTGCTCTATGACCTTTTTTATCTATTTTTATCACTGGAGAGGTGTGCTGACAGCCTCTACATTTTTCTTTAGAAAAAGTATTTATTCATTGCATTACGGCTAATGCATAATACCCAGTACTAGCCAGATAAAATTCCTCAGTTGGAAAATTCTTAGAAACATCAGAATATAAATTTTTACAGTACTCTGCATGTAAGTAAAATAGTATAAGCTAAATGTCCACAATTTTATCGATTAATATTGTGGACAATATATAAATAATAGTACAATAATGTTTTAATGAACATCTGAATAGTTTTACATCTGGGGAAGATGTTCTTAATTCCAAGATCTTTGATATTTAGTATAGAGCAAGTTTACATACATTATAGAACAATGTGTTATGTCTATCCTAGGCCTTTCCCTGTGTGTTTTGTGGGTTTGCTTGTTGTTTCCATTTCTTTTTCAACAATGCAGATAAATTGGATACTGGGGAAGTCTCGTTATAGAGTAGATAGGAATATTAAATTTACTGCACATCCATGCATCTATAAACAGTCAATATGAACCTAATGAGTCCCTAGTGAGTTCTCCAAACATGTTTGTACAACTAAGCTCATTACTACTCACTTTTGCATCAATAAAGTTTCTCAGAATGATGGATATGGACTTGGTGCCTTCAAGCTGAACATATGTATAATTATTGCATGTTCAAATGTCATATTGCAACTATTATAAGCTTTATTTGCATAGTCCTGGAGTTCACAAGATCACTGTCGTGGCAAGTAAATGCACACAGCTGGGCTGAAATAGCATATGAACTCTCTGACAGATATTGACTCTGTGGCTGATGTGGTGATTAAATATATAAACCAAATCCAGTAACCTAAATATCATCAATATAACTTAAACCCAACTATAGCCGAACCCGGGCTGCTTTTTTTCCTACACGTTTTTGTAATGTCATGGCAGGGCTATGATTGACAGTTTAAGCCGGGGGTATGTCCAGTATGTCAAGCACCCAAGGGGCTCATGTGGCTGCTCTTCCTGTTTGTAGCTTGGCCTTTTGTGGCTTTAAAGTCAAGAATTAAAGGTCACAGGAAACTGCAAGGGCTAATATTAGATAAGCATGTGGATGGGTTTGGCAGACCCCATCAGCACTGTCATCGCTGCAGTCTGGCTCCCTGACAGGGCTGGCCATACAGGGATTTGGAAACACATATGGTTGGGTCATGATGAAGGCTCTTCTGCGGGGTGATATGCAGACATGTGGTCAAACTAATGAATGGCCTTTCTTTAAATGTACAGTACTGAGCAGGAATTAGGCAAGGATTAGGTCTTTGTCAAATCGGCACGGTGTATGATTAAAAAGAAAAATTAATCCTAGATCTTTGAGAAAACAAAGATAGCTTCAACCAGAGAAAAAAGAAGCAACTTGTACAGTGATCTCTTGTATGCCTCGGCTGTCGGGTTTTTTCAAAATAAAGTCAGTTAACAAAAATAATGATCAATTTATATGATATCAATTAAGGATGACTACGGTATTTTGTAATAAACATACGTCCTCAAACAGTTCAGAAAAAGTGAAAAACAAGGAATCTGGTTTCTAAAACAAGACAGAATTGACAGTGTCCACTTCTCTTGCCTGCAGCTTACACTGATTGACCAAACCAAGAGGAGATAAAAATGAACTACAGTGTACAGTGTATGAGTGTAGTGCCCTTTTTTTTCTTTAAACTGAGCCTGCACTAAATTGGATAATTGAAGCTATTGTCAAATGATTTGGCATTCCTGACATATATGACTTGTTAAAATTGAGTGAATTATATATAACTATATAGTAAAATTACAGGGTGGGACTTCAGCTACATTAAATGTGCCATATCAAACTACACTGATTGCAAATTTGATATGAAACAGGCCAAATACACAATTAGATATGACACAATTCTTTATTATTAGTTTTATTTGATTTTTTGGAAGACACTTCGGAGGATGATTTCATGCATATCTTTTAGTTACCATCATTGGAGATTTCACATCCTGTATGTCTGAAACGACACGTGTGACAAGTGTTGCATTATTTCTCTGATTAAGACTCTTTGGCTGTCTTCTATTAAACCTTAAAAGAGTTGACAAAAGATACTTCTTTTTTGTATACACGTCTTTATAATAGTGGGGCAGCATAAAACAACAAATTGGTGAGATCCAGATTTTGCCATGATGAAAAGTAGAAAAATAACAGCCCAGCTACTATTTTGGCTGGAGTTTGAAAATGCTAGATCGCTGTTAGGCTACACTTAAAATAATGCCATAACATGTGGGCCAAAAACTTTTTGATGTATGAAATTGCTAAATGGGCAATATTTGCAGACCAATGTTGATCAACTTTATTGCTCACAAAGAATCAGACATATGTTATAAAGGTAAAACTGTTTAATAAGGTAAATGTTCAATAAGCAGCATCTGTTTAAAAACTACATTTGGACATAACATCTGGCTTTGTGTTAAGTATAGAGTTATGCTGCCCCACTTACCACTGGATTCTTGGCTGAGAACTGAAGATGAGAGGTTGTGGGCTATATGTGGCATGTCTGTTAATCCTCTGCTAACGTTTCCTTTCCCTCTCACCCTGAAGCGACAGCATGTTGACAGCAGCCTCCACAGCCTTCAACTCTCCCTCCTCCATCCATCCTTCTGTCAACCTCCCACCCACCTGTCTCATGTCACATTGCTTCCCCCTCATCCTTTCCAGCAATTTCCTGTTCCCTTCATAGATCATGTTACAAGTTCCAAAATTGTAAAGGCAGACACACACACATTCAGAGTGTACATGCTCTCTGTAAACAC